ACTTTATTTAACTAATTATGTGACTTCTGAAGGTAATTGGTTGCACCAGATCTTATTTAGGGGCTTCATAGCAAAGGGGGTGAATACATATGCACGCACCACTTTTCCGTTATTTATCTTTTAGAATTTTTTGAAGCAAGTTATTTTTTTCATTTTACTTCACCAATTGGGACTATTTTGTGTATGTACATTACATGAAATCCAAATAAAAATCCATTTAAATTACAGGTTGTAATGCAACAAAATAGGAAAAATGCCAAGGGGAATGAATACTTTTGCATGGCACTGTATGCCTAACTTGGTGTTTGCACTCAAGTAGTGGGACAACATTCCACAGGCCACAATCAACGTGCGAAGGAGATGTGTCGCGCTGCATGGAGATGTTTCACCACTCACTGGTTTTCTGATCCACACCCCAACTTCTTTTTTAAGGGATCTGTGACTAACAGATTTATTATCTGTTTTCCCAGTCATGTGAAATCCCTAGATTAGGGCCTAATGCATTCATTTCAATTGACGGATTTCCTTATATGAACTGTAACGCAGTAAAATCTTTGAAATTGTTGCATGTTGCGTTTTCTTCAGTAAAAAAAACTAACTGCAATAGAGCATGATAATGATGGGTGTGGTTTTGCAGACCAGCAAAAATCAGATTACTTGGTGTCAACCTCACTTGGGATTAGAATGGACAACTTCTTGGTTGCCAGCGACCTGAATTTCCTGCTACTCAACTGGATGTAGATTTTTTAAATAGTAGAACCAATAGACATTCTGTCATTTGTCCTTATGGGGGAACCCTTTTAGGTGACACGTAGAAGCCTTAGATTGTTTAGAACCCTCTCACAAGGAACCCTTGTGGGTTCTTCGTTTTGTCTCTGTAGGGCAGGGTTCCACAATAGGCAGCTCACGGGCCAAATTCGGCCTATGGGTGATTTAATTTGACCCCCAAGTATTCTGAGCCAAATAATAATAATAATAATAATAATAATAATAATAATAATAATAATAATAATAATAATAATAATAATAAAATAAATTGTAAAATAATTTTAGTTGTTGGACATGTAAGACTGTAAAATCACCAGGAAATCAGCTCAAAGTGATTTTAATTTTGGAAATCTATTCCCAAGTATTCCTACCCAGAAATAGAGAGGCATATGTGATAGTCTCCCAATGTAATCAAGGTTTGAAATGATTTATGTTTTTGTCAAAAACTACATCTGTTTGGGATTCTTGCGATCAATTTGCAGTGTACAAATTACCTATAACTATGTTTCGGCCCCGCTCAAGAAAAAATCTGAATGTAATTGTCCCCTGCTGTAGGGGAACCCTTTTGGGTTCTCCGTAGAACCCTGTCATGAAGAACCCTCTGGTTACAGAGTTCTGTCATTTGTCCCTATAGGGGAACTCTTTGGGGTACCACGTAGAACCCTTTGATTTGTTCCTGTAGGGGAACCCTTTTGAGTTCCATATAGAGCCCTCTCATGAAGTACCTTCAGGTTCCAGGTAGAACCAATAACAGGTTCTACAGTTATACTCATAGGATACTTCAGATGTGCTTATGGCACAGACTGTTAAAAATGGCAATTTTGTCCACTCCCAGTTCTACAATCTTTGTGAGAGCACGTGACAATCAAGAGCTGCACTGTTAAGAGGTTACTGTGCATTTTACAGTAACTTAATGGCAGTTGGTCACCAGGAAGTTTCTTTTCAATAAGTTACTGATCTCTCTCACGCTCACTGACCTGATGGTGTGGCAGAAAGGTCAGTTTGCTGCCAACCAAGAGGTTGAGGCCAGAGGAGGCTGGGTCCCAAGTGTGCTCACCACAAATAATGCTTAAGTGCCCACACCAGCGAAAATCCACTTTTTTATTAGCTGAAAGACGATAACCAGTGCTTACCCTTTTAAGTCAATAAGTCATGGTTTTATTCAAAGTATGTTATATTTGGGCTTAAAGTGGGAAATCCAAAGTGGGAACATCAGACTTTTCCGCCCCAATGCTGTGCGTTTCCCTGACAAAATGATGTGCAGTTCCATCCGACTACTACGTTAAATATATTGGTCTTGATAGGGCTAGCTTTAGTTACTTTGGACCCACCTACAAACATATTTCACATGTGCGGGCTCATTAGCTACTTCCTGTTTACAACCTGTTGCTACTGTGGCTGCAATGCACTTCGACCTGGAGCTGTTGTATGAGCTGACGGTGAAACTGTAAAAAAATAAATATCTGCATGCGCTACAGACGGATAAACCGCAAACACAGGACTAGTAAAAGCTCAGTGCACTACTTCCCGCGGCTATGACTGAGTGTACAAAACATTAAGAACACCTTCCTAATATTGAGTTGCTCCCCACCCTTTTGACCTCAGAACAGCCTCAATTCGTCTGGGCATGGGCTATACAAGGTGTCGAAAGCATTCCACAGGGATGCTGGCCCATGTTGACTCCAATGCTTCCCACAGTCGTGTCAAGTTGGCTGGATGTCCTTTGGGTGATGGACCATTCTTGATACACATGGGAAACTGTTGAGCGTGTGAACCCAGCAGTGTTGCAGTTCTTGACACAAACTGGTGTGCCTGGCACCTACTACCATACCCCATTCAAAGCCACTTACATTTTTTCTTGCCCATTCACCCTCTAAATGGCACATATACACAATCCATGTCTCAGTTGTCTCAAGGCTTAAAAATCCTTCTTTAACCAGTCTCCTCCCCTTCATCTACACTGATTGAAGTGTATTTAACAAGTGACATCAATAAGGGATCATAGATTTCACCTGGATTCACCTGGTCAGTCTGTGTCATGGAAAAAAAGAAACAAGAGTGGTGCCCTCCCCCTACAGGCCCTGGTTACATCTTGCATTGACATGTGGTTTTCGTGATCTGATCAAGATGATCCAGATACAACAAGTCCCCGTCTACCTCAGTAAGTGGTCAGGAAGATAATCAAAACATGGGCCAGCATCCCTGTGGAATGCTTTCGACACCTTGTATAGCCCATGTTATTTGAATTTTCTACACCAGTCTAAAAATGTGGGCACAATGTTAGCACCAGGTATAAACAGGACTTCTGTATGCTATGATGAGTCTGTGCTTTCTGGCTTGTCATTGTGCCTGTGCATCCTGCAGCTCCACTGAAGGCTTGAGGATTTGTTGGCTGTGCATACACAAAGCCCCCCTTGGAGTTCCTAGTTCCCGTTCCTCCGTAAGATGGTTGCCATGGCAACGTACCATTTTCCCCCTGTGAGATTTGGGAGGAGGACCAAGGTCTGCAGAATGCAATGCAAAGCATGCTGGGGCGCTTCAAGTAGCTTGGCTGTATTGTACAGGGTTCAGTAGGCACCAAACGGAAAAAGACCGGGAGGAACTGCTCATTTTCGTTTTCCGTTGCAAAACGTTTCGCTATGGTGTCATCAACCCAGATTTCAGTAACACAACATGCCGCTCCAATGCTTTTCAAACAATCACCGGTTGGATAGAGAGAGGGATTCCTAAAACCTTGTAATACAAACACTTCAGGGTTTATTTGATGCTCTATTTGCGGCTCTGAATAACACAGATGCTGTTGCAATGTCAGTGTTCAGCATTAGGAACAAGACAAATTGATCCCCTAGTATTCTAGCACATATTATGTTACAATGTCAAATAGCCTGGCTGGCAGATCTGAAGTCAGTTGTAAGAGACAGTGCTCTTGTTAGAACATCTAGTATCAGAACATGTTATAATTTCTTTCCCAGTCTTTAATGATGTATTAACGATTGTAGTAATTGTGCAATATTGTGAATGCTACTCAGATTATGACCTTAAACTGCACGACAGATGGGTATATTGGCTACACGTTATCATAGTTTGTTCACACTAATCAGTGATTTACAGTATTTCAATCAAATGCATAGAAATCCAATCAATGCTAACTCCCTTTGGCCATAAGTCTTGGTAATGTACAGTGGTTGGTTATAGCACAATGCAGTGTTCTGAGGATCAGTATTGTCACATGACACCAAGCCCTACCTAGCTGATCACAGTCAAGCACTGAGAGCTTGGTTACCATGGCACCCATCTACTGTAATAAGTCACTCAAAGCTTTGCTTTCATGATGGGATGAAATCACACACACGCAGACACACACACGCTTTGAACAGTTACAGGTTACAATGTGGTCAAGTTCAACACAATTATATAAGTCTATGGGTCAACAACACACAGGCACGTAACAGGTTTATAATATTAATGACGAATGAGAGAGGAAAGATGGTTTAAATAGATGGTTTCTTTATTAAAATATGTCAGAGAATGACATTCAATGGTGGGTTGAAATGATATTGCTGCTTAATACATACAGTACATCATCAAGCACTGAGCACAGTAGTTTAGCATGAGTTATTGTTAGTACGACTTCGTTTAACCTGTGTCTTATTATGAACTATTAACTTCAGCATACAAACCCCTAAGAAACCTGAGTCTTTTCAGTCCGACATGGTTGTTGTGCTACATTCAAGTCCATTCAAGTTGTCATCTATCACTACATGGTTACACTATGGGTGTAGACTACCACAAATGGATGGATTATACTACTGTAGCAGTATCAGTATAGGGTGTAGCCATGTTCGTCCACATCCGATACAGAGGACAGGAGGCAAGGAAGTAGTAGTATCGGACACATAGAGTATAGGACATGCTGTAGTTTAGTTAACAGGCTTAGGTGTCAGGTTGGGGGCTATTAAGTAGAAGGAGTTCCATTGCATATAGTTGCATTGGGATTAGAGCCATAGGTATGCACTAGGTATGCACTAGGTATGCACAAGGTATGCACTAGAACATTCTAAATGTGCATTCCTACCGGAATGTAATGTTCTTGGAACATTTGGTGCCATTTCAATTCGACATCTCAAACAGAGTTGGACTAAATCGGTACATTACTTATGGCTCTGATGGGGATGAGACAGAGAGGTTGGTAAGAAGCGGTATATCTGGGTTGGGGGTTGGGTGGTCTACTTCTTGAGCGGCGGGGGGATCTTGATGTCCTGACCCTTCTCCAGTTTCTTCTCACAGTCGATCAGGTAGTTGACGCCGTCCACCACCGTCTGCACTAGCTGGACCTGATCACACAGAGAGACAGTGGGTGTGTTGGAGAACGACTGCATTGCAGACTGTGCCAGATCTCACAACATCTAGTTAGGTGTTTAACATATCTGCATTCCTCACCGATTGGTCCTGGAGAGCGGCAGTGTGTGCAGGCTTTTTTCCCATACCTGATTCAAATAGTCAACCACATCTTAATTGGTGTGTGTGTGAGTGTGTGTGTGTGTGTGTGTGTGTGTGTGTGTGTGTGTGTAAATGCACAGTGTTAGTGGAGGATCTACAGGTAACTGCCATAATAAATGAACCACCAACAGAAAGTGTCTTAATAGGGCATTGGGCCACCAAGAGCTGCCAGAACAGCTTCAATGCGCCTTGGCATAGACTGTACAAGTGTCTGGTACTCTGCACATATTGTGGCTCTCCAGGACTCACACCACCAACAACACATAATACAGAATAGTCCCATTGTCTTCCTTTATCTATGTCACCATCTCGCATGCAGACACAGGCATGACAGCATGACTGGGAACACAAGAGGGTACACAACACACAAACAGAGGCAAGACAGACTCTCCTCAAGACATTGTTCAAGCCTTCCAGTACAACCCATGGCCGCATCTCAGTAGTCTAAAATGGCTTCCTCGCTCATATCCTCTCATTTACTATATCGAGCTGTAAAGCAAATGCATTTGGTACTCTTCACCGTATTGTGTTGACCTACCTTCTCAGATTTTGAATAACAGCTTTTGATTTGCCTTCTTAAGCCCTTGGCTCATAAGGAGCTTAGGCTATTGATGAATGTCCTCCATCTCAGTCCTACATTAGTTGTAATGACCAAGTGAATTTCCTCATTTGGGATAATAACTTTTATTGCATTGCCTTGTATTTTAATGTATTGTAGGTGCAGGTAAACGAGAGGAGTGGAGAGTATGCCATTTTAGACTATTGAGATGCACCCCGTGGCAGTGGCAGATCTAGAATCAGCTTCCCTTTCCCAATCCTAACCTTAACCATTAGTGGGGGGAAATTCCAAACTGACTCAAGATCAGTGTCTAAGAGAAACTTCACCCTACACTATGTATTCCCTATTACCTCTGACTGTCCCAGTCTGTCCAGGTTGGAGATGTCAAAGGTGCTGCCCACGGCTGCAGTGTCCACTCCTCCGGTGCCCCTCTTCTGCAGACGCAGGTTGTCCAGGATCTTTGTGAAGCGGGGGTCCTGCAGTGGGGTTACAGACACAAACTTTTACAGATGCACCATTGAGAGCATCCTGTCGGGCTGTATCACCACCTGGTACGGAAACTGCACCGCCTGCAACCGCAGGGCTCTCCAGAGGCTGGTGCGGTCTGCCCAACGCATCACCGGGGGCACACTGCCTGCCCTCCAGGACACCTACAGAACCCAATGTCACAGGAAGGCCAAAAAGATCATCAAGGACATCAACCACCCGAGCCACGGCCTGTTCACCTCGCTATCATCCAGAAGGCGAGGTCAGTACAGGTGCATCAAAGCTGGGACCGAGACCCTGAAAAACAGCTTCTATCTCAAGGCCATCAGACCGTTAAATAGCCATCACTAGCCGGCCTCCACCCAGTACCCTGCCCTGAACTTAGTCACTGTCACTAGCCGGCTACCACCCGGTTACTCAACCCTGCACCTTAGAGGCTGCTGCCCTATGTACATAGACTTGGAATCACTGGTCACTTTAATAATGGAACACTGGTCACTTTAATAATGTTTACATAGTGCTTTACTAATTTCATATGTATATACTGTATTCTACTGTATTTTAGTCAATGCCACTCTGACATTGCTCATCCTAATATTATATATTTCTTAATTCCATTATTTTACTTTTAGATTTGTGTGAATTGTTAGATACTACTGCACTGTTGGAGCTAGGAACACAAGTATTTCACCACACCCACAATAACATCTGCTAAATATGTGTATGCGACCAATACAATTTGATTTGATTTTGATAGGGCACAAAACGTAGGAAAACGGTCCGAAATGAAGAGATACGATCTGAACTTGTCCAACAGGAAACACTCATTTCCGATGTAAAAACGTTTTGCTCACAAGCATGGCCCTGGTTAGGGGAGAGGAATTTTCAGAAGACTAATGGGGCTTGAATGACTGGAAAGTGGTGATCTTGTTGGTCGCTGGTGTGAGGGTATAGAGGTTTGTGTGTTTGTGAGTGTGTAAATCTGTATGGGGCAAGCCAAATATTTATCTTAGTAAGACGTCTTATTAAGAAAAAATATCTTGACACAAGAGAAATTACCTTACCCCACTTGTGTCAAGCCTTTTTAGGTCAAAATAAGCAACATGATCTGCCAATGTAGTAAGATAATGTATCTTGGTAAGAAAAAAAGTCATTTAAAATTCATTTTCACTCAATACAAGATAAACAAAATCAAGGTAAGACTCCATTTTTGCTGTGTATGATTGTTGGTGCTCTGAGTAGATATTGCAGTTTGTGTGTGTGTTACCTTGCTGAGCTTGGGCAGGTTGACGTGTACACCAGCGCGGAGCCCAGTGCCCAGGTTGGAGGGGCAAGTGAGGATGTAGCCCAGTCTCTCATTCCACATGAACTCCCAGCCTTTCTCCTGAATCAGCCTCTCCACCTGACCAAACATTGCATTACAACTTTAGATTAGATGAAAACATAGATTTTAAAATGAAATGCAATTTATCTTGCAAACATACACTGTCGGTCAGCAGCCATATAGTGATCGGTTGTGTATCTTTGTCTTGACCTTCAAAAAACCCAGGTTCTTGTACGCTACCATGTTATATTCTGGGTCCATATATACAGTGCATTCTGAAAATATTCAGACCCCTTGACTTTTTCCACATTTTGTTACGTTACAGCCTTATTCTAAAATTGATGAAATTGTTTTTTCCCCTCATCAATCTACACACAATACCCCATAATGACAAAGCAAAAACTGGTTTTTAGATTTTTTAGCAAATGTATATTAAAAAACCCTGGAAATATCACCTTTACATAAGTATTCAGACCCTTTACTCAGTACTTTGTTGAAGCACCTTTGGCAGTGATTACAGCCTCATGTCTTCTTTGGTATGACACTACAAGCTTGGCACACCTGTATTTGGGGAGTTTCTCCCATTCTCCTCTGCAGATCCTCTCAAGCTCTGTCAGGTTGAATGGGGAGTGTCGCTGACGGGCTATTTTCAGGTCTCTCCAGAGATGTTTGATCGGGTTAATGTCCGGGCTCTGGCTGGGCCACTCAAGGACATTCAGAGACTTGTCCTGAAGCCACTCCTGCATTGTCTTGGCTGTGTGCTTAGGATCATTGTCCTGTTGGAAGGTGAACCTTCGCCCCAGTCTGAGGTCCTGAGTGCTCTGGAGCAGGTTTTCATCAAGGATCTCTCTGTACTTTGGTCCGTTCATCTTTCCCTCGATCCTGACTAGTCTCCCAGTCTCTGCCACTGAAAAACATCCCCACAGCATGATGCTGCCACCACCATGCTTCACCGTAGGGATGGTGCCAGGTTTCCTCCAGATGTGACGCTTGGCATTCAGGACAAAGAGTTCAATCTTGGTTTCATCAGAGCAGAGAATCTCGTTTCTCATGGTCTGAGAGTCTTTAGGTGCCTTTTGGCAAACTCCAAGAGGGCTTTCATGTGCCTTTTACTGAGGAGTGGCTTCCGTCTGGCCACTCTACCATAAAGGCCTGATTGGTTCTCCCATCTCCACAGAGGAACTCTGGAGCTCTGTCAGATTGACCATCGGGTTCTTGGTCACCTCCCTGACCAAGGCTCTTCTCCCCCGATTGCTCAGTTTGGCCGGGCGGCCAGCTCTAGGAAGAGTCTTGGTGGTTCCAAATGATGGAGGCTACTGTGTTCTTGGGGACCTTCAATGCTGCAGAAATGTTTTGGTACCCTTCCCCAGATCTGTGCCTCAAAACAATCCTGTCTCTGAGCTATACGGACAATTCCTTAGACCTCATGGCTTGGTTTTTGCTCTGACATGCACTGTCAACTGTGGGACGTTATATAGACAGGTGTGTGCCTTTCCAAATCATGTCCAATCAATTGAATTCACCACAGGTGGACTTCAATGAAGTTGTAGAAACATCTCAAGGATGATCAATCAAAACAGGATGCACCTGAGCTCAATTTCGAGTCTCATAGCAAAGGGTCTGAATACTTAAGTAAATAAGGTATTTCTGTTTTTTATTTGTCACACATTTGAAGAGATTTCTAAAAACCTGTTTTTGCTTTGTCATTATGGGGTATTGTGTGTAGATTGATGAGGAAAATGTTTTATTTAATCAATTTTAGAATAAGGCTGTAATGTAACAAAATGTGGAAAAAGTCAATGGGTCTGAATACTTTCCGAATGCACTGTAGTATTCAAATACTTGTGTGTATTTCTGAGTGTGTGTAGTGTAGTCATTGCTACTGTTCAATAACAGTCCTTGCTTTGACATTTTGGCGTCTCCTGCATCTGCATCTAATGAGGAACTTGGAACAATTAGATAAATAATTAAAGTGTGTGAGTGTGTGTGTGCACCTCTTTCAGGCCTGTGCAGAAGCGGTCAAAGACTCTCTTCATGTTGCCTCCCTTCTCCATAGAGATGACCCTGGTGTGATCCTCTTCATTGATCCAGATGAGGAAGGTCTTCGTGTTGTTGTGCCTGGGTTTGGTACAAAGGAGTGGAGATGGTTTAAAATCACTCTTAAACCAATACTTAAATCAATATTGAAATCAACATGTGTGTTTTTAAAAACACAAATACTTGTGTATTGCTACCCAATGGAAACGGATCCCACCATTGCCACCAGCGTCCGTAGACTATTTAGGCGGAGCTGATCTCAACCATTGATATCAATGCTTTTCCTTAATGTTGGTAAAAGGAAATACATTCCTCAGAGCCCTCGTCATAATGGATTGAGTTAGACAATATCAGTATATGACTAAGAGATCATTTTCCTATTCTCCATTGCACCAACTAGAGTTGATGTCCCGGGTTCCATTTACCATAAATGTACTTACTTTATAACTTCATTCACAAAACATTGAGGTGATGATGGCCGTATACAGTATTGCCATATACACAATAATCTCATAGTAATGCATTGTTATGCATACAGTATTGCCATATACGCAATTATCTCATAGTAATGCATTGTTATGCATACCATAATGCAATAAGCAATAATCTCATAGTAATGCATTGTTATGCATACAGTAATGCCATACAATTAATAATCTCATTGTAATGCATTGTATGAATTGCATTGACTAAAAACGGACTTCCTAAAAACAATTAGAGAATTTAATGAAGTAATTGACAGGTCTGGAGCCAGGAGAGCGAAGGGCAGGATGAAAGGAGGAGAGCTGTCAAACGGAGAGAGAGAGGGTGAATTATATAGGAGAGAAGAAGAGTTTGGTATGCTGTAGGCACAGAGGGGGGTAAAAGGGAGGCTGGTGATCGATGCTGGAGTGGGCCATGACAGGGTTGTGGTTGGCACCAGGCTATTTTTGGGCCACCGGCTGAAACTCAATGCGGAGAGGGCATTGTCTGCAGGGCCATAGCCAGGGTCTGAGTTTTAGTGAGGTCTTGAGGGGGGTGAAAGGGGGTTAACTTTCTTATAAATGTAAAGAAAGTTGAAGCTCATTTACTGCATTTATATACAATTTAAAAACTCTAAAATGCCATTTGGAGAACAGCTAAAACAAACAAAAATTACCCCAGCCATTATCACATTGGTTGCTGTACTTCATTCACCTCAGTCAATCTACAAACACATAGCCAATTGACTTTTTCCACATTTTGTTCTGTTCCAGCCTGAATTTAAAATGGATTCAATTGAGATTTTTTTGTCACTGGCCTACAAACAATACCCCATAATGTCAAAGTGAAATTCTGTTTTTAGAAATTAATTAAAAATGAAAATCTGAAATGTCTTGAGTCAATAAGTATCCAACCCCTTTGTTATGGCAAGCCTAAATAAGTTCAGGAGTACAAATGTGCTTAACAAGTCACATAATTAGTTGCATCGACTCACTATGTGCAATAATAGTGTTTAATAGGATTTTTGAATGACTATCTTTTATCTCTGTACACCACACATACAATTATCTGTATTATCAGTCGAGCAGTGAATTTCAAACATAGATTCAACCACAAAGACCAGGGAGGTTTTCCAATGCCTCGCAAATAAGGGCAGACATTGCATATACCTTTGAGCATGGTGAAGTTATTAACACTTTGGATGGTATATCAATACACCCAGTTACTACAAAGATACAGGTGTCCTTCCTAAATCAGTTGCCGGAGAGGAGGGAAACCGCTCAGGGATTTCACCATGAGGCCAATGGTGACTAAAACAGTTCGTGTTTAATGGCTGTGATAGGAGAAAACTAAGGATGGGTCAATGACATTGTAGTTACTCCACAATACTAACCTAATTGACAGAGTGAAAGGAAGGAAGCCTGTACAGAATAAAAATATTACAAAACATGCATCCTGTTTGCACTAAAGTAATACTGCTAAAAATGTGGCAAAGAAATGAACGTTGTGTCCTGAATACAAAGTGTTATGTTTGGGGCAAATCCAATACAACATATTACTGAGTACTACTCTCCATATTTTCAAGAACAGTGGTGGCTGCATCATGTTATGGGTATGCTTGTAATCGTTAAGGACTGGGGAGGTTTTCAGGATAAAAAATGATGGACCAGACACTGGGAGACGAATTCACCTTTCAGCAGGACAATAACATAAAACACAAGGCCAAATCTACACTGGAGTTGCTTACCAAGAAGGCAGTGACTGTTCCTGAGTGGCCGAGTTACAGTTTTGACTTAAATCTCCTTGAAAATCTATGGCAAGACCTGAAAAGACTTACCCAGAAAGACTCACAGCTGTAGTCGCTGCCAAAGGTGCTTCTACAAAGTATTGACTCAGGGGTGTGAATACTTATGTAAATGAGATATTTCTGTATTTGATTTTCAATACATTTGCCAACATTTCTAAAAACATGTTTTCACTTTGTCATTATGGGGTATTGTGTGTAGATGGGTGAGATGTTTTATTTAATTAGTCCATTTTGAATTCAGGCTGTAACACAACAAAATGTGGAATAAGTCAAGGGGTATGAATACTTTCTGAAGGCACTGTATACAATTAGCCGCTGCACATTAACTCACATTAACTCAGCACCGGGATTGAAAACTATAATTTAATACGTACAGTGCGATCTGTTAGCAGAAAATTATTTTATTAACAAAAGGTAAACAAATACATTTGCTTTAGAGATTTGTATTTTATTGTGCAGTTTTACAGCTAATTTCCTGCAATTCTACACATTTTGCCATGCCTTATGCCATGTTAATTATGATATCTGAGCAAGAGTGACTAGCTACATCAATGGGGGCCCCCTGGAGGTCAGGGCCCCTGGGCATGTACCCTGCTTGCCCGGTCGGTAATTCGGCCATGATAACTAAAAGTTTAGATAGCTGGCTAGTCTAACTAGACTAATTTGAACAGATATGGGCTAATTTAGTGACTGTCTATAGCTAGGTTTCCATCCAATTGGCAACAGATTTTAATGTGAATATTCTCAAATCCGCATAAAAACAATATGCATGTTTTCCCTCCAAAGATGTTTCCATGAAATTGGCTTGTTGCAGATAAAAGGCTGTGTGTGATGAGGTAGTGCACATTAAATACCTTTTGCAGTTAAATTCCCATGTACCGAATAAAAACACAAGTTAAATGGGTTTCCATCGCATTTTCAACTCTACTGATGGTTTTCTCACAAAACATGTTGCGTTATATAGCGAGTGTGCCCACTCTGGTCTTGGCACGTGCGCACACTGCTATCTGCACATTGTTGGCTAGAGTGCACCTATAGCCTACCTGATGAGATTACTATTATGGACAAAAGAGCGAGATTACTTTTATTTGTCAAACAGCAGCCAAGCATCGATTATCATGTCCCCAGAATAAGACCCTCAATATTTATTGGAAAGGAGCATCAAGATCATCACCGTGCACTTTCACCACACTGTGAAGGTCATCATCCTTTATTTAATCTGTAGCCTAATAAACTGCATTCTTTCCCGACAAATCAGTGGGAGGACCACACACCATGTCATCGTGTGACTCCAGGTCAACTTCGATATGATGGTTATTATATAAATATTTGCGCACAAAAGCGTTTCCACTGACATTTCTCGCATAATTCATTTTACTGACACAAAAAGATCCCAACTTGTCTAGCGTATTTTGTTTTGTCGACATTTGGAAAGTTTACCGGGAAATGTTCTGTTTCCATCAGGCCTGTCATGAAATTGTACTTTACGCGCATGAAAAGGTTGGATGGAAACCTGGTTAGTGAGTGACATATAACAAGAGAAAAACTGCCAATGTACAACCAAGTTTCGAAATTGCACCTTGTGTATTCTACTATTTTAACTCTCAACAGTAAGTTGAGACCCTGACTGAGTTCCAAAAAAGTAAAATAATATGTCCTCATATGTAGCTCTGGCCCTGATTGTCTGTTGTTGTCGTTTATGTTTTTATTGTCACATACATCGGACAGGTGCAGTGAAATTAGGTGTTTTACAGGGTCAGTCTTAAGGCGTCCACATACTAGGTTCGGTTTGCACCTAGAAGAACATGGCTAGGCAAAGCGAACATCTCTGCCTAGCATACTCCCTTAAACGGCAATTCCACCACTTTTCAACCTCATATTCATAATCTCCAGCACAATACCAGTGTCTAAATATGTGAAAATGGCATGTTTCTAAGATCTGTGGTTAAAAAGATAAGGTCCTAAAAAATGCTTCTCTGTGACATCACAGGGTAGGATTAAAACTGGGATTTTCAAAACCTGTAATGAGTTTTTAGCCAGAGGGAGGGTATTTTATTTTTCCCCACGTCACCGCGAATCTCATAGTGTTTGAAAATGATGTCATCAGGTAGAACTTTTTAACTTTATATTTTTTTCTACAAAAACTTAGAAATGCACTTTTATTGTTACATATGACATAGACATTGGTATTGCGCTGAAGATGAAGATAATGAAAATGAGGTTGAAAAGTGGTGGAGCTGCCATTAAAAGACCTTCGGTTGAAAATAGAGAAATATTACAGTTTGTCCCTCTTGAGAAGCCCTAGCAACAAATAGCCAATATACACTTCTTCAAAATAGTCCGAATTAATCTAAGATAAATCAAGAAATCTGTAATCAATTTAGACGTTTTTGCCGAGGAGGTCTCAGTCACGCAATTTTACATCTAACTAAGATGTTAGATGTTTGGTGCAGTATTTCTAAAGTGAACAAAATGTCCATGAAAACTAGTCTTCTCTCATTGAATGACAACAAACACGTAATTGAAGAATCCCTACTGTTGACCAATCACCGACGAAGGGGTGTAGACTTCGTCTACCGAACTTCGACTAGCCTCAAGAAAAAATGTGTGCTGGAACAGCAAAAAACAACAAAAAAAACTGCATAACACCAAAACCAACAAAAATGTCACAAGATTTTGTCAGAATATATGCACGAACAGTATCAACTGGGAAGCATAGGGTAAGCTATAGTAGTACAGCGGCCCTAGAGCAAATTAGGGTTAAGTGCCTTGCTCAAGGACACATTGACAGATTTTTCACCTTGTCGCCTCAGGTATTTGAACCAGCCACCTTTCGGTTACCCGACCAACACTAACTGCTAGGCTCCCTGCCACTAATGCACTTTTAAGGCTCAATCTAGAGGAGCTACAAGCTAGAGGGCATTATTTTGCAAGAAGGAAATCCTCCATAAAGAAGGGTCATGTTGATGTGTAGCACGAACTGTATGCAAATAACAGTGAAACAATGAAAACCTCTCACTGTTACGACTGTTTATGACCACTAAGGGTCCGTATCTATAACTAACAGGTGCTTACCAGATACCGCGTGCGTCTGGCCAATCACGAGCCATCCCCGAACAGGTCAGCAGAGGGGACACGGGTTTGTCAAACAGGAAGTGGTCCTATATCAAAACAAAAGAGACAGGAAATGCTGTCTTAATGAAAGTGGACCAATATCAATGTCCTAAAAAAAATCATTGCTATTGTTTCCCTTTTCTCACTCTCCTTTATTTCCTTAAAACACGTCAAATGGATTGGCCCCTTGACTCACGTCAATGAGCTGCTGCTGGTCCTGGTCTGTCATGTGGGTGAGGCTGTAGTAGGTCCCTGCCAGGTCCCCCTTCAGGCCAGCCAGCGCGTCAACCACCACCCTCTCCACCTCGCGGCGTTCCGCCCGGGTACACGCCGGGGGCAGGCTTAGCCCCCTGATGCTACGGCCAGTCCTGACCCGCGATGACAGCACGTAGCGCTCGTCAAAGTTGCCAGACGTGAGCTGCAAATGGAGAGAAATAGAAAAAGAATGAATGGCATTTAGTATAGTAAATAGTATTACATATAGGCCTAGTATCACAACACCGAAATTGATGGAGGAAGTTTGTGAATGATCTATGATCCCCAAAGAGCAAAAGGGTATAAGCCAAGTCAAGACATATGATTGTTTCTATATTTTGTTCCCTTAACAAATGATTTGTATGCCATATAATTCATTGTAGCATATAATATATTCACGTAACATAACATTCTAGTATGCGCAATGGATTTACTGCCTAATGATATAATATTAGCTGGTATAACTGATTAGTGTAATGCATTGACTGTATATGAATGGACAAAGCCAACGTCACAGCATTCATTCCTATGTGACGACTCAATGGCGCATTTGAAGCTCAGGAAGTCTGTTTTATCTTGGTAAGAGGTCTCATGGGTGGGATTCTCAAGACATAACAAGCGCAGTTTGAACTACTCCAGGAAGTGATGTTGCAAGCTGCGACCAGGGGAGAACAACTGCCCCCTCTCATGGAGTATCTCAAGTTGAAGGCCGACTGGGGTACTGCAGGCTGCCGGTAGCAACTAAACTATCCTTATAACTTCTTCTGTGTGCGATTTCAAAATAATTGGTTCAAGGACATACATCTGGTGTAATAGAAGCAACTATTGGTACCATGATTGTCTTCGAATTTGTTCTTTATATGAAGATTCCATTTTCCCATTGACTATAAAGGGGGATCCTGCTTTCTCAAAACAACAGCCTGCAACACCTCGGTCGGCCTTGAACTACATGGCTTCAATGAAAGGGGGCAGTCGTTCTCCCCTAGTGTAGCGTCCGGTGAGTGAATCTGTCCACCTTTTAATGTTAGGTAACAGAGTAGTATGCAGCGCCTAACATCGTCTGTGTGTGGTGCTGAAAAGAGATTAGGTAGAGATAGCAATGGTCAGGGCAAACTTGGTGCTAAAGGACAGTGCCACCATTCAGCCAGTTATATTAATCTCACTAGTGAGGGCACACTGTCACATCTAGGCAGCATCCCAAATGTTATCCTATTCCCTTTATAGTGCACTACTTCTGACCAGGGCCTACAACCTATTCCCTGGTCAAAAGTAGTGCACTACAAAAGGAATAGGGTGCCATTTGGGACGCAGCCCTATACTGTTGTTTTCAATGAAGTTGCATCTCTATACCTTGCTGGAGTCCAAGTCGGTGGGATGGGTCATAGTCTGAGGGTCGTAGCCATTGTGCCGCTCCTTGATGACTGGGTCAAGGAGTTCTGCAAACACCTGAAACCCCCCACATCCACATCAGAAGTCTGACCATATAACATCATAATATAGCCTACAATAGTTGTCACACCTAAGCTGAAAGGATGGGAGTTCTTTAAATTATCATTGTCACTTTACAAACTACTAGACAGGCTTACAGTATAGTATTAAAATGCAGTTTAGTTAAGCAATAAGGCCCGAGGGGGTGTGGTATATGGCCCTTTCATACCATAGCTATAATTTAACACATTTGCCGCTAGAAATTTGTTCATTTGCAGGTAGAAATGTGTTCAACATCCACTGAAGTAGCTAGCAAGTTGACTAGATAGCTACAGTAGTTGCCGTGGTAACCAAACCAACAGACTTGCTCATTTAGCTAACCATCAGTCCTAGCTTGCTATTATGAAAATCGAATTCAACAATGCCAATAATGTTTCCAATTTGATTTTTGCTTTCAAAAGCAGTTCAAACATAGAACATTTATGAAATTAACTATAGCCATTGAATTCTACCGTGCTGATATACCGTGTGTTATAGGGAAGTAATGCACGCTCTAGAATGCCCTTCAAGCCAATCAGAAACCAGTATTCAACAATGCCATGATATAACTTGGAAATAATGGACGACGCAGCGCAAGTCCCTTTGCGGAGTACATTTTTCCATGGTAATGTACAGAACGGAGGCGTTTATCCTGCTTATACCACAGTTGCCAAAGAAAACAATACTAAATCACACATAGTGCCTTCGTCAGGACACTCGTCGACACTGTGCATTACGAGATCACATTGCATGTCAAACACTAGGTTAGAAGCTAGCTAAATAGTTTGTTGCTAACAAGCTTGCCAAAATGACAACCGAATTCAAAAATATCAGTTGCTGGTCAAACTAGAAATTCCATGTGGAAGGATTTGACTGCATAGTGCCACTTGCATCATGACTGAAGAAATTCATGTTCATCCCTCACCACGCTAGGTCATCAGAAGTTCCCAAAAAATATGCAAAAACAAATCAATTGCTAGCTAGCGTTCTTCTTTGGACCTGCATTTACCATTTTGGTTTGTGGTTGTTGGTTTAGCTTTCTGTAACTAGCTACAGAAAACTACGGTCTGCATGTGTAGGCGTAAATTGCATCATGATTTCAATCAATTCTTTGAGAGAACAAACACAGCCTATGGCTTCACTACGTTGACCTTTAACTGCTGCCTCAAACTAATGCCCCTTGTTCTGACCTCGTATGACTCCTCGTCCCCTGCCACCATGCCCACGGTCTTGATGAAGGGGTGCCCAGGGTTGTCCACACCAGTCTGGATGGCCTGGTCCAGGGAGTACCCGTTGGGCGTGGCCTTTTCCACCAGCTTGGCATAGATGGCAGGGGTCAGGTGGCTGGCCATGCAGTTGTTGTGCTTGCGTAGGTCCGGGTACTCCGCACTGTCAGGACACAGTCAGTCACTCACAAAAGATTGCTATATCATTGTAATTGATAAACAACCACAAGGACAGTTTAAATTCTAAATTCAATTGGAAATGTGTACATGACTAATTGGTGCTCATTATTATGATGCTCCTGAGAATTATAACCTAAGACTCACTGCACTTCAACACCTACAGAGATTTCCATCTATGGCTCTGACTGTTAAGAGCTAGCTATAATTATATCTTACCTGAGCTTTTCTTTGACATAGCCTACCACTAGTTGCGGGCTTTTGGCATGTACTGCATGCATGCGCTATGTACAGTATACACCTGGCACAGAGCGCAGTCATCACCGATGACGCATCAGTGTCGACAAACATGATACAATCTGGTCACACCAGAAGTCGAGCATTCTTCAACTATCCTTTGGAAACGAAATATCCTCTAATTCTTAATACACATGAAGCAATCACATTTTCCAGTTTAGCATTTTACCTACAGCACCTCCATTCGGTTTTGGGTGTGCGGTAGATTCTGCCTATCATTAGGCCTATAAAGCCACAAAAGCAGAGTTTTCCCAGACCCAATGCAGGTCATATAAGGTCAAATCTAGACCATTCCACCATGGTCCCGGAAAAAGCACACCCCTCTCATCAATCAACAACTCAATTTCAGCATTTCAATGTAGCCTGGAATTTGTTGGAAAAACATTCCCTCATGGTACCATGTAGCATTCAGATAATTATTGTGAGAAAATGCATCTTTCATTCTTTATATGTATATTAATGATTCATTATTGGGTATAAAGAACGTGGCGCAATATAAGTTTAATATATTTCGAGAATAAACAGGCCTAGGTCGGTTATAATTTTCACAAATAGGCTAGCTTATTTATGATGGAAAGACTCAAAAAACCACAATCGTCTCCAGTCGCTCGAATTGCCTTGACAGTAAAATAATTTCATCTAGGTCAGCATATTATTCACGTATTAGGCTACTGTATCTAAATCCTGAATGTCAATACGCTCTCGCACTTGAAATGGCTAGACTGAAAATGTCCATATATAGCAGTAAAGTGCGTCGTGGTTTACCTGGCAGGGTACACTCTCCGTACTTGCGCTCCAGCGGTGACATGTTCATGGTTGAGCAGAAAGCCCGCTGTCAAAGACCCGGCTCCAATTAATGACAGAATCCCCACATTTCGTTTGGAGGACAAAATTCTGGCGAAGTTGTTTGCCATTGTTTTATTTCCACAGTTCAAGAGGTAGGGGTGGATGAAAGGGAGCCTTGCTGATGCTAAGCGTCTAAAAGGAAGGGATGAAATCAGAGAGAATGGATGAGCGAGACTGGAATAGGAGAGACTGCGTGGTGTGAATGCTAAGGGTTCCAAGTGAATACAGCAATATGCGAAGCTGCCTACACTAGGCTATAGCAGCATTGGCTGTAAGCTACTCTGTAGTCTGTCTGTATTTCCCCCTCCCATAGGCCTAAACACTGGACACAAATAATTACTTAGTTTAGTTGTTGTGGCTAGACCGTGAAAGCAGGGTGAAAAGTGCATCTGTGGATTTTTTGTTATACTCACGGACAAACATTACACAACTAGACACCCAAGTAACCATGCAATGCATCATGGATGGGTGTAGGCTATTGCAAGCACTATGGTTGAATCATTAATGTGAAATTAGAGCAAATCGAAAGTTCTTCACATTTCCTTAATTGGATTATTAATCAATTTATTTTGTCAATAGGTTTGAAAATTACAAACATTATGATTTATTTACCCACACCAACTACTACTATGCACTTGGACTAGGCAATTGGGGTTGGGGTTTGCGTAATTACAGAAAAAGTCTGGTTGGACCAGTCAGCATGTATTGCAGGAACCAAGAGTTTAGAAAGGGGCTCTGACTTTTAGCAGGGACTAAGGACAACTATAGTGACTAAATACCTTGCTTTTGAGATACAACACGTTTAAAGATGTGTAGAAAAGCACACGGCCCTATTCAGCTATAGCCTAATTCAACTGAATATATAGGCTATGAAAGGGCATGGGAAGATTATTACAATACTGTATTGGAGATACTTGTATGGTATTTAAACAGGCTTTATTACATTTACATTTTAGTAATTTAGCAGACGCTCTTATCCAGAGCGATTTACAAGGGCACATGGACAGATTTTTCACCTAGTCGGCTCGGGGATTAGAACCAGCGACCTTTCGGTTACTGGCACAACGCTCTTAACCACTAAGCTACCTGCCGCCCATTATTGAATGGAAATCCCTCTTAAAACGATCCGTATGGGTAGGCTACTTTATGCCATCATGTGGAACAAACATGAGCATTACTGTAGAAAACCAAAGGCATTATTCTGAGGGAGACTTGTAGGAAGGGCTATTTAGTAGGGGATAATTCAGTGATCAAGACATGAAATGAGGAAATAGCAAGCTTATATGGGTTATCTGATCAAAGTTCACAGGAGGAAATTATGCAAGAGGTGTTTTTTACACAGGCCTATGGCAATTCCATTGCAGGATGAATGATTGCAATATAAGTTAGCCACTATTAAAAGATGAAACACATACACTACATGGCCCAAAGTATGTGGACACCTGCTCGTCCAACATCTCATTCCAAAATCATGGGCATTCATATGGAGTAGGTCCCCTCTTTGCTGCTGTAACAGCCTCCACTCTTCTGGGAAAGCTTTCCACTAGATGTTGGAACATTGCTGCGGGGACTTGCTTCCATTCAGCCACAAGAGCATTAGTGAGGTTGGTCACTGATGTTGGGCGATTAGGCCTGGCTCGCAGTCGGTGTTCCAATTCATCCCAAAGGTGTTCGATGGGGTTGAGGTCAGGGCTCTGTGCAGGCCAGGTTCTTCAAGTTCTTCAAAACCGATCTCGACAAACCATTTCTGTATGGACCTAGCTTTGTGTACGGGGGCATTGTCATGCTGAAACAGGAAAGGGCCTTCCCCAAACTGTTGCCACAAAGTTGGAAGCACAGAATCGTCTAGAATGTCATTGTATGGTGTAGCGTTAAGATTTCCCTTCACTGGAACTAACTAAGGGGCCTAGCCCGAACCATGAAAAACAGCCCCAGATCATTATTCCTCCTCCACCAAACTTTACAGTTGGCACTATGTATTGGAGCAGGTAGTGTTCTCCTGGCATCCGCCAAACCCAGATTTGTCCGTCAGACTTGCCAGATGGTGAAGCGTGATTGATCACTCCAGAGAACGCGTGTCCACTGCTCCAGAGTCCAATGGTGGTGAGCTTTACACAACTCCAGCCGGCGCTTGGCATTGCGCATGGTGATCAAATCGAATCAAATCTTATTGGTCACATACACGTGTTTAGCAGCTGTTATTGCGGGTGTAGCGAAATGCTTGTGTTTCTAGCTCTGACAGTGCAGTATATCTAACAAGTAATATCTAACAATTTCACAACATATACCCAATACACACAAATCTAAGTAAAGCAACGGAATTAAGAATATATAAATAAATAAATGGACGAACAATGTCAGAGCGGCATAGACTAAGATACAGTAGAAGAGTATAGAATACAGTATATACATATGAGATGACTAATGCAATATATGTAAACATTATTAAAGTGACTAGTGTTCCATTTATTAAAGTGGACAGTGATTTCTAATCTATGTATATAGGCAGCAGCCTCTAATGTGCTAGTGAAGGCTGTTTAACAGTCTGATGGCGTATAGAAGCTGTTTTTTAGTCTCTTGGTCCCAGCTTTGATGCACCTGTACTGACCTCGCCTTCTTGATGATAGCGGGATGAACAGGCAATGGCTCGGGTGGTTGTTGTCCTTGATGATCTGAATGATAAGTAGGCTTGTGTGCGGCTATTCAGCCATGGAAACCCATTTCATGACGCTCCCGACGAACAGTTCTTGTGCTGACGTTGCTTCCAGAGGCAGTTTGGAACTCAGTAGTGAGTGTTTCAGCGCTTCAGCACTCGGCGGTCCCGTTATGTGAGCTTGTGTGGCCTACCACTTTGCGGCTGAGCCATTGTTGCTCCTAGACATTTCCACTTCACAATAACAGCACTTGCAATTGACCAGGGCAGCTCTAGTAGGGCAGAAATTTGATGAACTGACTTGTTGGAAAGGTGGCATCCTATGACGGTGCCACGTTGAAAGTCACTGAGCTCTTCAGTAAGGCCATTCTACTGCCAATGTTTGTCTATGGAGATTGCATGGCTGCGTGCTCAATCTTATACACCTGTTAGCAACGAGTGTGGCTGAAATAGCCGAATCAACTAAATATATAGTGTAACTGCAATAATAATTATCGTTAAACATCATAATACAGTACAGAAAAAATGGCAATTGAGTTAACATTCATGGCAAACCAATTATACTTAATTATACTTTGGAAGTAAATTCTTTTGACACACTACAGATGTAAAATATATGTAGGATAGTCTCACCTTGTTGCAGTACCCAGATACTGAATGGCACTGCCCGTTGATTCCTTTGGCTGCCCTGGCAGACCTGTGAGAGGCGTGGTGTCTCCTTATCTTCCTTAGAGTTGATTGTGCCTACCAGAGCGCCTGATACAAACATCATGACTAACACTTTACACCCTCCCCCCCAATAAATATATAAATATATATAGTACCAGTCAAAGGTTTGGACACACCTACTCATTCCAGGGTTTTTCTTTATTTTTACTATTTTCTACTGTTGTAGAATAATAGTGAAGACATCAAAACTATGAAATAACACATATGGAATCATGTAGTAACCAAAAAAGTGTCAAACAAATCAAAACATATGTTATATTTTAGATTCTTCAAAGTAGCCACCCTTTGCCTTGATGACAGCTTTGCACACTCTTGGAATTCTCTCAACCAGCTTCATGGGGTAGTCACCTGGAATGCATTTCAATTAACAGGTGTGCCTTGTTAAAAGTTAATTTGTGGAATTTCTTAATGCGTTTGAGCCAATCAGTTGTGTTGTGAATAGGTAGGTGGGGTATATAGAAGATAGCCCTATTTGGTAAAAGACCAAGTCCATATTATGGCAAGAACAGCTCAAATAAGCAAAGAGAAACGACAGTCCATCATTACTTTAAGATATGAAGGTCAGTCAATATGGAACATTTCAAGAACTTTGAAAGTTTCTTCAAGTGCAGTCGCAAAAACCATCAAGTGGTATGATGAAACTGGCTCTCATGAGGACCTCCACAGGAATGGAATACCCAGAGTTACATCTGCTGCTGAGTATAAGTTCAATAGAGTTACCAGCCTCAGAAATTACAGCCCAAATAAATGCTTCGCAGAGTTCAAGTAGCAGACACATCTCAATATCAACTGTTCATGGTCAAATTACTGCAAAGAAACCACTACTAAAGGACACCAATAAGAAGAAGAGACCTGCTTGGGCCAAGATACACGAGCAATGGACATTAGACCGGTGGAAATCTGCCCTTTGGTCTGGAGTCCAAATTGGAAATGTTTGGTTCAACCGCTGTGTCTTTGTGAGACGTGGTGTGAGTGAACGGATAATCTCTGCATGTGTATTTCCCACCGTAAAGCATGGAGGAGGAGGTGTTATAGTGTGAGGGTGCTTTAATGGTGACACTGTCTGTGATTTATTTAGAATTCAAGGCACACTTAACCAGCATGGCTACCACAGCATTCTGCAGCGATACGCCATCCCATCTGGTTTGGGCTTAGTGGAACTATCATTTGTTTTTCAACAGGAATGACTCAACACACCTCCAGGCTGTGTAAGGGTTATTTTACCAAGAAGGAGAGTGATGGAGTGCTGCATCAGATGACCTGGCCTCCACAATCCCCCGACTTCAACCCAATTGAGATGGTTTGGAATGAGTCGGACGGCAGAGTGAAGGAAAAGCAGCCATCAAGTGCTCAGAATATGTGGGAACTCCTTCAAGACTGTTGGAAAAGCATTACTGGTGAAGCTGGTTGAGAGAATGCCAAGAGTGTGCTAAGCTGTCATCAAGACAAGGGTGGCTATTTGAAGAATCTGAAATATAAAATATATTTTGATTTGTTTAACACTTTCTTGGTTACTACATGATTCCATAAGTGTTATTTCATAGTTTTGATATATTCACTATTTTCCCACAATGTAGAAAAGAGTACAAATAAAGAAAATACACACACACACACACACACATTTACATACACACTGAGCGTGAAAAACATTAAGAACACCTGCTCTTTCCATGACAGACTGACCAG